ACTAAACCAAAACAAACAAACAAACAAACAAATCCCAAACTCACTGCCGTCGAGTTGATTTGACTCATAGAGACCCCTCCTAAGGCCACTGGGTCATGGAATTCAATGACATCTTTGAGTTCCACACTTTGTCATCAGGGAGGACTTTTCAAGACCAGTTCAGTTAAACCAATATCTCATTCTTCTCAGAAGTATCCAGAGATATGAGTACACCTTTTTTATTCCATTGTAGCAAAGAAGTATACTCAGTTGGAAATTAAGAATTAAGATTTTGAAACATTAACTAAAATACTATCAAACTACTTGTATTTGGAAAAAAATCATGCAGTTGTTAAATGTAGTCTATTTCTCTTGCAGATTGCTTGAAATTAGATATCATAACCTACTGTTGGTTTGGGAATACTCAGTCATACATTTAAACATGTCTTTTTTTTAAAGAAAATTTTAGTTGAAGAAAAAGTTCCATGTCTTTGGAATATTGATCATAACCTTTAAATGTGTTAAAAATTGTACAAGAATGTTCAAATCATGAGACGTTTACATTTTCTTGATTAATTATTTTGTTTTTGGGAGAACATGGAAGAGAGAAAACACATCTGAGCTGCCTTGTTTTAGTTGTAAATGCATTGTTATGGGTTCAGCCAACATGGAATGTTTAGTTTGGATATTTCCAAACTTCTCTGTGTCATTTTATAAGATTAATTTGAATAAAAGCCCATTCTACTTGCTTGTGTGGTGGCACATGAGCAATGGTCCCACAGGGCTAGGCTTAACGTTTTCTTTTCTTACAAAAGTTAAAGTATGACAAATTGGCAAATTTGACAAAGCACAATAATTTTTTGCCAGGGTTGTTTTTTTTTTTTCCCGTGTTAAAATTAACTGGTCCTCTCATTGGCTTCATTACTTGGGAAGTCAGTCTAGGATACTTAATAAACTTTTTTTATTAAAGAAGAGGGACTCTTTTTCTCTTCTTGCACAATATCTTCTTTACTTAAGAACTTTGTTTTGCTGCTGTTCATAAAAGTAATCCTGAGAACAGCAGCATGGTAGTGTGAAGTTAAAAATCATTGGTGGCACCTTGAAGAAGGTGCCCTCTGAAAGATTTCAAAGACATGATCCCACTGTTACATTTATACCCTAGCAATGCTTTTGAAAGTATGCCTTGCATAACTGTGCAAACTACCTCCAATCACAGTATTTACAAATATTTCCTCTCTCCAAGGACCATTCATAATGGCAAAACAAGATATGTGACATTTTTTAAAAAAGCCAGTTCTAGGATTCGAAGCTTGGGAAAGACAGCAAAGCAAGGACATGTAGACTCTATGGTCAGCCCTGCTCAGCTGTTTGGTTACACAATTCACATTCTTTGAATCTGTAAAATGGGATCCATGATATTTATTTGAAAAAAAATAGTAATGGTTTCTCATGCGGAATATTGCTATGTCAGTGTTATAGACCAAAGACATGGGAGAAGAGCAATTTTCAATCCCTGTCTCCTCTCTTTCTTAGCTTCCTATTGAACAGAAGTGTTTATCTAAAAATGTCTGAGTTTTCTTTTCAGGAGATATGAAGCAAATATGTAAGATTTCTAGCATGTTCCCAAAGCATGTTCTTCTTCTTTATTTTTAATCTTTAGCATTTCAAAATATACATTAACTTCTGTGTTATATCTCATAATATTTCAGGTGTGATAAAAGATTTTGCAGAAATATATGTATTCTTAATAGAAGCAACGAAAAGACTGTTTTTAAAACTGAAATTGCACCCTTAGGTTTCACGTCCTACCACAGCTAGGAATTGCTGAGATCTTGAGGGACTTTCCCTCAGTGAAAAAGATAAAAGATTTTTTTTTTCTTTTTCTCAAGTCTCCCATCATTAAAGTTTGGTTCTAACAGCAGACTCCTTCTCTTTTTCATGTGTGTTGAAAAGCAGCTACTCCCTGTATCAAAGCCATCAGCCCGAGTGAAGGATGGACGACGGGAGGCGCGACTGTGATCATCATAGGGGACAATTTCTTTGATGGGTTACAGGTCATATTCGGTACCATGCTGGTCTGGAGTGAGGTAGGTGTTGTCTGAACATTAATATCTAATAGCTTGGTCTACTTGAGGGTACTGTCTACACTTGAATTTCTAATAGTATTGGAATTTAGTGGTGCCACTCTGGGTGGGCCAGCCCCAGTCTACAGAACTGTGGGGTACTAGGAATGATGGGTGGGGTTTACAAGGAGGCAACATTTTCTACTGCAATGACTTCCATTATCTGCCCCATGTACAGGTGGAGATCTTCTGTTTTGTAATTTTTCCTCTTGGGTTTGCCAGTGTGAGGGTTTCATTGAATAATGGGAACTGGAAAGGAGATGCAAAGTCACATAATATACAGGATAAGTCCCACTTAAGCTTCAGCAGGAGGTAACTTATGTGTAATGTGTTGTTGATGTTTGCCATCGAGTCGAGATGGAGTCTATTGTAGGCTGACCTTCAAGGAACAGCATTCACATAACTAATAATCCAGGTGTAGCTGGTTCTCAATGTACTGAATGACTTCATCAGAAAGAGATAGTGATTTACCAAGAAAAATCCAGGACTTTTTCCATCCCTAGGGTTTTACAGTTCTCAGGTATCTCAGTACATGACTGCAACCATATGAAAATGACTGCACAGTGCCTTCCCAACACGATGATCATTACTTTAACTTGCCAGTTGACTTGTCTGGCAATAACCGGCATTAGCTCAAGATTACAAAACACAAACATCAACATTATATAGATGCCATGACATACTTGCCTATGCTTTATATATGATCTGCCTAGATTTCTCAGCCCACTTGCCCAGAGCCCTTTCCCTTTTACTTCTCCAGAGTTTAGAATAAAATACAACAGTATGGCTATAGGCACCTTAGAGCACATTCATCCCACTTGTTTTACAAAGAGTCATATTAATCACTAAACTTTATTGAACGTTTACTATATGCTAGCCACTGTTCTGAGCTAAAACCAGAAAAACTGCCATTGAGTTGAGTCTGACTCATACCAACCCCCATCGAGTTTCTGAGGCAGTAAATCCTTATGGAAGTAGATTGCCCCATCTTCCTTCTGCAGAGTGGCTGCTGGGTTTGAACCACCAACCTTCTGGTTAGTGGTGACATTTCTTAGGCACTATGACACCAGAGCTCCTTGACATAGATCACATTAATTTTCTCTCAACCCTATGGGTTACATACTCATGTTTTTGTTAGCTGGAGTTGAGTCGGCCCCCAAATCATGGTGACCCCATGCACGATGGAATGGAATGCTCCTGATCCTGCACCATCCCATGATCGGTTGCAGATCAGACCACTGTGATCCATGTGGTTTTCCCTGGCTGATTTTCAGACACAGATCACCAGCCTTTTCTTCCTAGTCCATTTTAGTTTGGAAGCTCTGCTGAAACCTGTTCATCTTCATAGCAATATGCAAGCCTCCACTGACAGACAGATGTTGGCTGCACATGAGATATATTGTCCAGGAATTGAAACTGGGTCTCCCACTATGAACTGCCAATGCCCCCTTTAGCACCTGTTTTTTCTTGAGGAGGATGCTAAGGCTAAGAGATGCACAATTCTATAACACTTATACTATTGAGCAGAGCCATAAAATTTAAATGATATGTATGTGGCCACCCAAAGAAGTCAGTAACAGAACTGGAGCTAGAATTCATGTTGTTTATTTCCATTTTGAGTCATTCTTCCATGATGCCACTGTATAGCCCATCTAGATATTTGATTTGTATTTTCTCTTTAGAGGAGCCACAGAGATGATCTGAGTTAAATCTGTGATAGTTGAATATGTTCATCTTTTCAAAGTAGATCCTATCCTTTCCAGTAAGCCTTTATTGTGCACTTTTCACTGCCAATAACCCACTCAGACAAGCCTCTTGCCAGCATGTGTTGCCTCTGCCTTTGGTTTTCCCATGCAGCCAACAAGTGATATGCTTTTGGCCAGATAATCAAAGCTCTTGTAAAGCTGAATTAGAGATGGGCTTCTCTGTCCACCCACCTAATTGCTGTCCAAGTTGGATCAAGCATGAGGGATACACTGAGCTTCCTCTGCCAACTATATCCCATTCTTTATTGGAACCATTGAGTTGTGAATTAAAAACATCACATTCATGGCACATTTTGCTGCCACTTTGGTGTCTTTTTCCTTGCTGACTTGGCTACATGTGTGAGAGCTGTCCTCACAAAGACAACCTCAAGTAGATCTTGTAGGCTGTTTCTTCATCACTTTTTCTCTCTTACTGTTGTTTATCACGGAAGTTGGGAGATAGGAAGAATAAGAATATAATGTTGACTTTTTGCTTCAGTCACTGAAGTCAAAATGAGGCTTGGAGAAGTGGGGATCAGACTATAATTTGGATATAGGTCCATCTGACCTTTTGAAAATTAGGTGGGTTAGTCTGAAGATTCTTTTAAAACACTGTGCCTATCTTAGCCCAGATATGGGCTGTATGGAATAAGCACTTGACAAATTAGGAAGTCATTAATTTGTAACTCTGCCTTGTTGATAGTCAAGGTCCCCTTGTTTCTTCTCAGTTCCATTTTGTCACCTTTTTTGGGGGGACAAGTTTTTTAAAAAGTTGCCGTTGAGTTGATTCTGACTCATGGCAACTCCATGTGTGCTAAAGTGGAACTGTACCATAGGGTTTTCAATGGCTTATTTTTTAGTAGATTGCCAGGCCTTTTTTTCCAGGGCATCTCTGGGTAGAACCTCCAATCTTTTCATTAGCAGCTGAGTATGTATTTAATGGTTTAAAGAGCCCACCCAGGGGCTCTTTGGGAATAGGTTGTTGTTATTACCTGATGTTGAGTCATCCACCAACTAGTGAAAGCCTCATGCATAATGGAATTGAACTGTTGTGATCCAAAAGGGTTTTCAATTGCTGATTTTTTGGAAACTAGTAAGAGAGATTAAAATATAACCTAGATATATCTAAATTGCTTTATAAGATTTGTTTCCACAAACAAAACTGATGCAAGTTATGAAAAGGAAAACCCATTAAAGTAATACTTTTGTCCTTTTCTCTCCTCCTCTCACCTCTATTCTAAAGCCCTCAGGGTGAGTTCATCCAGGGGGTGGGCTTGCGGGGGAGCATATGCTCCTTCTTTGCCAACTGGTGGCATAGTGCCTAAGGCATTTGACTGCTAACCAGAAGGCTGGTGGTTCAAACTCACCAGCCACTACTCAGAAGGAATATTGGACAATCTACTTCTGTAGAGATACTGCCTCAGAAACCCAAGGAGAGGTTGCTCTGAGTTGAATCGAGTCAAGGGCAGTGAATTTTTTTCTTTTCTTTTTGTATCCTCCAAACTGCCCTAATTTGTGGCTATGTCATAAATCAATGCTGACTCTTTTCTAGTGTAAACTTACCAAGTAATTGCCCAAAATATTTGAGCAGATATTCTTTTTTTTTCTTTTAATTTTTTTTTTTATTGTGATTTGGGTGAAGATTTACAGAGCAAATTCACTTTCCATACAGCAGTTCACATATACTTTGTCTCATGTCATTGACCACATTTACCACAATGCAACAGCTCCCCTCCCACTTCCTCCCCATAGTTACCTCTTCCCAGTGTCCATCCCTCCACACACTCCTGCCCCCTGAGCTGTCTCCCTGTGCATAAGAAGCCCTTCTTTCTCTCATGATTATTCTTGAGCAGATATTCTTTTAGAATAAATAAATCCCCTGCATCATTAGCAGTTGACTGTCTGCAACAGAGGACTTGAACTTGGGCAGTTATCATTATGATAGTTCCTCACATTCAGAAAAATGAGCTTTGCATGGGTGAACTTTTCTGTTATATTCTTAATTATTTAAATATTTAGATATGCACACAAGCTTTTTAATAGACACAATTTTCCTTTCCTTTAATCCAGGGAGAGGATGTGGTGCTGCTGCTAATCCAAAAATCCTTTGAATAATGTTGAGAATTAGTTACATTTACTTAGAATTTATCATAGGCACCTTATTGGTATTATTTTATTTAATCCTCCTAATAGGCTTGTGTTGAATATTCTTATTCTTCCTATTTTACAGATGAGGAAACTGAGTGTCAGAGATGTTAAGAGGCTTCCTCAAGGTCACAATGCTAGGTAGTGATAGATGAGATCTGAACTACACTTTACTGTTTTTACAAAAGAAATAAAAGCCCAAGTTAATAAGAGAGCAAATTGAAAGAGAGAAGGACAGATATAGGAAACAGACAAAAAGAAGACAAATATAGTAAGCCTGGTGGTACAGAGTAGTAGCAGTAATACCAATGGCAGTAATGATGGTTTTAGTTTAAAATCAAATAAAATCATACAGGTGTCTTTTATTTTCCTGTTGTTGTTGTTGTTATGTGCCATCAAGTCGGATCCGGCTCATAGCGACCCCTCCTTGGGTTGCTGAGGCAGTATCAATACAGAAATAGATTGCCCAACCTTTATCAACCAAGTTGGGGTCATTTCTCAAGGCTTGTATTGGATAGAGCCAGAACTTGATACTCTGAATATTTAAGAGATGATGACTATGACAAAGCTTTGGAAAATGCAGAATATGACTACTGTTAGCTAACATTCATTGAACATTTTAGTTTCTGCCAGTTTGATCTGGCTTGCATGTGTGCCTCACAAGTATATACAATGTCGTTTCCATTTACTGATGAGGAAATTGAGGCTTGTGGAGGTTCAATAGGTTGCTCAATTATCAAGTGGTTGAGATGAGATTTGAACTCACACAGTCCAGCACCAGAGCTTACCATCTTAAAATTCCACAATTTAGGCCATGTTAACATTTTTATCCTATGGTGTTACTTCATCACACCATAGTGTTATGGCCACTGTTATTATTAATGCATTTGATGGTGGTATCTTGACAGTTGCTATCATCTTCCAAAGTAAGGTAGAATTGGCATGTGGAGAACCAGAGAGTTGTGAGTGATCCTTTCGCTTTCTAGCTATAGTTGTCTGTGGTTGGAGCCAGTGGCTTCTAGGAAGACTTTATCCTTATAATGTTTTGTGCTAGGTGTTGTTGTTACATGGCAT